TTAGCCTGTGCGCAGTTGGCAGCATGCTGGGCGGGCTGTGGCCCTGGGCTCAGCCTGGAAGAGCTCATCAGAAAGGAAAACATTTAGTGGGGATGAGGGAGAAGGGTAATTTGCAATCGTGAAGCTTATTTTTAGAGCTCAGCTCAGCTAGCAGTGTCTGGAGCTGCCAGGATAGACTCCAGGGTTCATATCATTTGTGATCCCCAGCAACACGCTCTGCTCTGACACCCCAATCCAGGTACCAGAAAGCAGGGCAAACAGCCATCCCACCCCGCTGCACCTCAACACTGCCCCTTGCCCCTCCATGGCAACCTCCCCCTCTGGGGCCCAACTCACTGCCCTAGCCCCCACCTAGCCTAGCTGATCATCCACAGTGCCCCTTGGGGGCTGCTCTGAACTGCACCCGGACTTCAGGGAGTTGAGTCCCAGCAGGCTGCACTAGCAGCGAGGAGAGGCCTGGGTGGAGGTGAGGGGAGCAGGGCCCTGCCCCGCTGCAAATTCCTGTTGGATTAGGAGGTTGTTGGCTTGCCCGGAGCTAGTGAGGATGCTGGGCGCAAGGCTTGGGTGGGGATTGGCAGTGGACGGGGTCTACATTCTCTCCCCTGCCTTGGAGGTGGAAATAAACCTTTTCTAGCAATGATAAGATGGATGGATGCGGATGTGGTGCTCCTGCCTTGTACATCCCCATAGTTTGGGGTGGGCTCCAGAGTTTCTGGGTTAGCACAATTTACAGCGTAAGGTTTGTCTACACGGGAAGTTACTTCAGAATAGCTATTCTAACTATTCCACTTTACTGTGGATTAAGCCAATTCAGAATTAAGCACTCATATTCCAGAGTGACAATGTCCACACCTGGAGCGAAGCATGTATAGTTAATCTACTTTCAGTTCACATCCTCCTTGACTCCAGATTGATCTTCATGTGAAGACAAGCCCCAAGGTATCACCCAGCCACGCAGGATTTCAGACCCATAATGCCATTAAAATGCTCTTTGGTCTGAGACCACCGGGAAGCCAAAGCCAAGTGCTACTCTCACATCCATGCGGCAGCACGGCCTCTCGTGGAACTACAGGGGTGTCATACATGCTCAGTACGCTGTGTGTGTGTGGAGTGCTGGGTGGGGCAGGGTGCGGTGGGATAGACTCCAGAGGTACGTCGACAGTGCTGCTGGGAATGGGTCTAGCAGCCCGGGTTCACAGACCTGTGCTAGTGGCGCGTTAAAATCGTGGTGTGGCTGTTGCAGCATGGGCAGAGGCTGGAGCTAGGCGCCTGAGCTCACACCCACCCCACCCCCAGCTCCAAGCACAGGTGGCTAGCAAAGCTCCACTGGTGCCACAGTGTCCACATTGCAGTGTTAGTGCGCTGTGCCAGTCTGTCTACCCAGGCTGCGAGGCTCAGGCCCAGCTGCAGTGTGGACATACCATAGAGGTGTGCACTACAGAGTACTCTACGGGTCTGTCTGGGTGGGAGGGGTGTGATGCGGGGCACACTCTGGCTGTGGCTGGGTGGGAGGGGTGTGATGCAGGGTACGCTCTGGCTGTGGCTGGGTGGGAGGGGTGTGATGCAGGGTACGCTCTGGCTGTGCTGGGTGGGATGGGTGTGATGCGGGGCACACTCTGGCTGTGCTGGGTGGGAGGGGTGTGATGCGGGGCACACTCTGGCTGTGGCTGGGTGGGAGGGGTGTGATGCAGGGTACGCTCTGGCTGTGCTGGGTGGGAGGGGTGTGATGTGGGGCATGCTCTGGCTGTGCTGGGTGGGAGGGGTGTGATGGGCACACTCTGGCTGTGCTGGGTGGGAGGGGTGTGATGTGGGGCATGCTCTGGCTGTGCTGGGTGGGAGGGGTGTGATGCGGGGCACACTCTGGCTGTGCTGGGTGGGAGGGGTGTGATGCAGGGCACACTCTGGCTGTGCTGTGTGGGTGGGGTGTGATGCAGGGTACGCTCTGGCTGTGGCTGGGTGGGAGGGGTGTGATGCGGGGTACACTCTGGCTGTGCTGGGTGGGATGGGTGTGATGCGGGCTGGGTGGGAGGGGTGTGATGCAGGGCACACTCTGGCTGTGCTGGGTGGGAGGGGTGTGATGCGGGGCACTCTCTGTCTGGGCTGGGTGGGAGGGGTGTGATGCGGGGCACACTCTGGCTGTGCTGGGTGGGAGGGGTGTGATGCGGGGCACGCTCTGGCTGGACTGGGTGGGAGGGGTGTGATGCGGGGCACACTCTGGCTGTGCTGGGTGGGAGGGGTGTGATGCGGGGCACACTCATCCCCATTGCACAACTGGGGAGCTGGGGCACAGAGAGTAAGGCCAAAAGTACCCACTAACTGTGGGTATTCAGTCTGAGATGCCAGGTTTTTCAGAGCCGTCAGCATTATTAGTATTATTATTATTATTACTAGAATACTCAAGGAGCTGACTGAGGAGATATCTGAGCCATTAGCAATTATCTTTGAAAAGTCATGGAAGACCAGAGACATTCCAGAGGACTGGAAAAGGGCAAATGTAGTGCCCATCTATAAAAAGGGAAATAAGGACAACCCGGGGAATTACAGACCACTCAGCTTAACTTCTGATAATGGACCAAATAATAAAGCAATCAATTTGCAAACATCTAGAAGATAATAAGTCAGCATGGATCTGTCAAGAAGAAATCATGTCAAACCAACCTGATAGGTTTTTTTGATAGAGTAACAAGCCTTGTGGATAGGGAGGAAGCGGTCGATGTGATATATCTTGACTTTAGTAAAGCTTTTAATACTGTCTCGCATGACCTTCTCATAAACAAACTAGGGAAATGCAACCTAGATGGAGCTACTATAAGGTGGGTGCATTACTGGTTGGAAAACTGTTCCCAGAGATCAAAGGGGTAGCCACGTTAGTCTGGATCTGTAAAGGCAGCAAAGAGTCCTGTGGCACCTTATAGACTAACAGACGTATAGGAGGATGCATCCGAAGAAGTGGGGATTCACCCATGAAAGCTCATGCTCCAATACGTCTGTTAGTCTATAAGGTGCCACAGGACTCTGCTGCTGTTCCCAGAGAGTAGTTATCAGTGGCAGGAGCGTAGCTAGGGGGGTTCAGGGGAAGCAGCCACTTCCCCTCAGCACATTTTTCAAAAGCGGCTCCTGCCGGGCCAGCACTGGGCTCCTGCAGGCAAGGGGGGGGCAGGCCAGACTCGGAGGAGCCATTGGGGGGGGGGGCGGCAGGCGCGGTGGCCGAGCGCTTCGCCGCTGGTGGGCAGATCCCCTCTCCCCGGCAGCTTCCTGCTTCCCTCAGCCCAGCATTAGCAAGGGGCGGAGTCCTTGCTAATGCTGGGCTGAGGGAAGCAGGAAGCCGCCGGGGAGAGGGGATCTCGCCAGCTGCTGCCCACCCCACTGTTCCACTCCCTGCAGCCCCGGGGAGAAGCGAGCAGTGTCCGCCCGCCCCCCCCCCCCCGGACTCCCGGGGAGCGCAGCATAGCCACAGCGTGGCCGGAGGAGCCAAGTGGGGGAGCGCAGTGCGGCGTGGCTGGAGGAGCCAGCCAAGGGGGGGGGGCACGCGGAACGGCCGGAGGAGGAGCCAAGGGGGTGTGGCCAGAGGAGGAGCCAAGGGGGGTGTGGCCAGAGGAGGAGCCAAGGGGGGCACCTTTTTATGTTTGCTCCCCCTGCACTTAGAACCTGGCTACGCCACTGATCAGTGGTTCACAGACATGCTGAAAGGGCCTAACGAGTGGGGTCCCGCAGGGATCAGTCCTGGGTCGGGTTCTGTTCAATATCTTCATCAGTGATTTAGATAATGGCACAGAGATACACTGATAAAGTTTGTGAACAATACCAAGCTGGAAGGGGTTGCAAGTGCTTTGGGGGATAGGATTATAATTCAAAATAATCAGGACAAACTGGAGAAATGGTCTGAAGTAAATAGGATGAAATTCAATAAGGACAAATGCAAAGTACTCCACTTAGGAAGGAACAATCAGATGCACACATACAAAATGGGAAATGACTGTCTAGGAAGGAGTACGGCAGAAAAGGATCTGGGGGTCATAGTGGACCACAAACTAAATATGAGGCAACAATGTAACACAGTTGCAAAAAAAAGCAAACATCATTCTGGGATATATAAGCACTCCTGCTTATACATTCTAGAATGATGTTCGCCTTTTTTGCAACAGTTGTAAGCAAGACACAAGAAGTGATTCTTCCGCTCTACTCCGCACTGATTAGCCTCAACTGGAATATTGTGTCCAGTTCTGGGCGTCACATTTCAGGAAAGATGTGGACAAATTGGAGAAAGTCCAGAGAAGAGCAACAAAAATGATTAAAAGTCTAGAAAACATGACCTATGAAGGAAGATTGAAAAAATTGGGTTTGTTTAGTCTGGAGAAGAGAAGACTGAGAGGGGACATGATAACAGTTTTCAAGTACATAAAAGGTTGTTACAAGGAGGAGGGAGAAAAATTGTTCTTCTTAACTTCTGAGGATAGGACAAGAAGCAATGAGTTTAAATTGCAGCAACGGCGGTTTAGGTTGGACATTAGGAAAAACTTCCTGTCAGGGTGGTTAATTGCCTAGGGAGGTTGTGGAATCTCAATCATTGGAGTCAAGTATCAGGGGGTAGCCATGTTAGTTTGAATCCACAAGAACAACAAGGAGTTCGGTGACACCTTAAAGACTAACAGATTTATTTGGGCATAAGCTTTCGTGGGTAAAAAACCTCACTTTCCATCATTGGAGATTTTTAAGAACAGGTTAGACAAACACCTGTCAGGGATGATCTAGATAATACTTAGTCCTGCCATGAGTGCAGGGGACTGGACTAGATGACCTCTCAAGGTCCCTTCCAGTCCTTCGATTCTATGATTATATAGCACTTCATATGTTCAAAGCGCGGCTCCCATTGATGTCTGGTGCAGCAGTGAGTGCTCAGCACTTTTGAAATCAGACCCCAGGGTCTCAAGTTGGGCACCCAGAAAATGAGGAACACACAATTGTGGCCACATGTGAAAAGCTGGGTTTAAATGACCTACCAATTATCATGTAGGAACTGTGGGGCAGAGGCAGGGCCAGAATCCAGTTCTCCAGGGTGTCGTTCGACTGCCTCCACTTTGAGATCAGCCTCTCTCTTCTTGCACTTCGCTGCCTCATTCACTACTCACCTTCCAGTTTCCGCAACAAATGAGGCAGGGGCCCTATGGACAATAGCCTCCTTCACTACACCTGCTTCATTTCCTGAGCATCCTGTGCATGAATGAAGCAGGGGTCCTGTGGAAAAAATAGTATGTGATTGTGAAGGATGTAGGCCTGTTCTGTAATAGCTGACGAATACTGCATGCAACCTGGTTATTGGGATGTTTTCTGTTGACTGTGTGGTTTAATTTGATATTGGGCTCTAAGGAAAAGAAGCAGGAAGAATGAAGAATGGGTCAAGATAAGTTCCTCTGCTCCCCCAGTAAACACTTCAGGGTTGTTAAGAGACAATGGCTGAGCTATTAGCTGCGAAGATTCCACCTTTAGGCTCGGCCCAGTTACAAAACTTGTTTTGCCAGGTGGGGCCAATGCTGAGACCTGGCAGGTCAAAAGGCCTACAAATGGATAAAAGGACTCTCTGTCCCCTGAGGTCAGAGCAATTGTTGGGGATCTGTTCAGGCAGATGCCCAGGACCTATTGGGGTATCTAAAGAAGCCAGGGTTGCCTGGTCCACCACCACCAGATGGCAGGGCTGTAGGTAAGACAGACATGCCTGGAGAGTCTTTGTTGTTTAAAATCCGTTTCTCTGACTGCTTTGTTCCTAGTGTTAAGGATAAATGACAGTTTGGTTTAAGAAGGTTGTGTGTGATCACTGTATTCCCCACTGCTCAGACTCCTGAAGGGAACCAGGTGCCAATTGCCAAAGCCCGTTGGACTGGCGGCGTGAGCACATTGATCTACAGGGTACAGTAGCCCAGGGCTCAGTCTAAGAGTGGAGAATTGTGAACTTCTCCCCCAGGAGAGGGAGGTTACCAGTGGAGTTCCTCAAGGTTCGGTTTTGGTTCCGATTTTATTTAATCTATTCATTACTGACCTCGGAACCAAATGTAGGAGTGGGCTGATAAAGTTCGCGATGACACAAAGTTGGGAGGTATTGCCAATTCTGAGAAGGATCGGGATATCCTGCAGGGAGATTTGGATGACCTTGTAAACTGGAGTAATAGTAATAGGATGAAATTTAATAGTGAGAAGTGTAAGGTTATGCATTTAGGGATGACTAACAAGAATTTTAGTTATAAGCTGGGGACGCATCGGTTGGAAGTAATGGAAGAGGAGAAGGACCTCGGAGTCCTGGTTGATCGCAGGATGACTATGAGTCGGCAATGTGATGTGGCCGTGAAAAAAGCTAATGCGGTCTTGGGATGCATTAGGCGAGGTATTTCTAGTATGGATAAGGAGGTGCTGGTTCTGTTATACAAGGCACTGGTGAGACCTCATTTGGAGTACTGTGTGCAGTTCTGGTCTCCCATGTTTAAAAAGGATGAAATCAAACTGGAACGGGTACAGAAAAGGGCCACTAAGATGATCCGAGGAATGGAAAATCTGTCGTATGAAAGAAGACTCAAGGAGCTCGGTTTGTTTACCTTAACCAAAAGAAGGCTGAGGGGGGATATGATTGCTCTCTTTAAATATATCAGAGGGATAAATACCAGAGAGGGAGAGGAATTATTTCAGCTCAGTACTAATGTGGACACGAGAACGAATGGATATAAACTGGCCGTCGGGAAGTTTAGGCTTGTAATTAGACGAAGGTTTCTAACCATCAGAGGGGTCAAGTTTTGGAACAGCCTTCCGAGGGAAACAGTGGGGGGCGAAAGACCTCTCTGGCTTTAAGATTAAGCTTGATAAGTTTATGGAGGGGATGGTTTGATGGGATAAAGTGATTTTAGTCAATAGGTCAATAACATGCCATCGCTGGTAATTAGTAACAATGGTCAATGATGGGATATTAAAAATTACTACAGAGAACTTTTTCCAGAGGGTCTGGCTAGAGAATCTTGCCCGCATGCTCGGGGTTCAGCTGATCGCCATATTTGGGGTCGGGAAGGAATTTTCCTCCAGGGTAGATTGGCAGAGGCCCTGGAGGCTTTTCGCCTTCCTCCGCAGCATGGGGCAGGGGTCGCTTGCTGGAGGATTCTCAGCGATTTGAAGTCTTTAAATCATGATTTGGGGACTTCAACAGCTGAGTCAAGGGAGAGAATTCTTCCAGGAGTGGGTGGGTCAGCTTTTGTGGCCCGCATCATGCGGGAGGTCAGAGTAGATGATCATAATGATCCCTTCTGACCTTAGAGTCTATGAGTCTATGAGTCTATGAGGAGAGCCGCAGACTCAAGGCCTGTCCCTGAAGGGGTGGCACTCGGAGAACGTGGAAAAAATGGTATCTGGCCATGAATTAAAGACTGTATCATAATGCAGGGGGATATAGTGGACCAGGGGTTCTCAACCTTCTTCCTTCTGAGCCCTCCCCCCCCAACATGCTATAAAAACTCCACGGCCCACCTGTGTCACAACTGGTTTTCTGCATATCCAGTAGATTAAAAGCCAGGGCAGGCGTTAGGGGGTAACAGGCAGGGCAATTGCCAGAGGCCCCAAGCCAGAGGGGACCCTTCAAAGCTCAGTTGCTCAGGCTTCAGCTTTCTGCTCTGGGACCCAGCGAGTCTAACACCAGCCCTGCTCTCTGGCTTATTTTGGCGGACTCCCTGAAACCTGCTCGTGGCCCCAGGGAGCTGCAGTGCATACGCACAAGGGGTCAGGATTAAGGTTGCACAGACAACCTTCATGCTGGCATTTCTTAACTTTGGAGTGCTTGACTTTGCAGCCATGCTCATGTTCTTTTAGTATAAATACATTTCAGGCAGCATCTTTAACCCTCTGCTTATACAGAAAAGCCCCCAAATCCCGCATCTGCAGTGAATCTCAGCATAGAGCCCAGAGCCAGTGCTTTGTTGTGATGGGTGCTCCGGCTGCCTGTCATGACTTCCCTTGATCCAGCTGTGGGGCCTTTCTCCTCCTTGACTCCTGGCCGTGCCAGGAACCCTGCTTTTCTTCTGTTATTAAAAGCACTCTGGCCCCTGGCTGGTTCCCTCCCCCAACCCTCAGATGGCGCAGAATTACCATATCCCTTTGTCGGGAGCCACACTTCTGCTTGTCTGGAGGAGCAGCTGAGGCAGGAGAAATGTGCGTTTCCATGCAGGGGCTTAGTCTGGGCTGCATTGTGCCTCTGAAAGGAATGTTTAAAACATTTGCATAAAAATGTGCTTGAAACAGATAATATGAGTGCATGCAGGAGGTGCTGGTGAGGGGGCTGCGCCAGGCTGGGGGAAGGGGTCCTTCCTTTCAGCTTCATTCATCAGCCACAGAATAGAAGGTGTCTGGTGAGACAGGGGCTCTGACTTCCCAGCCTGACTCGAGTTCGCTGGTGTCCGGTGCCTGCTCGTTCAGGGCAGCAGGCAGCAGCCTCTGCTGATGGGGCGATTCTCTGATTTGGGCCAAAGCCCAAGTGAGCTAATCTGAGAATCCTGGGATTAGCTTCCAAGATGCCTGCTCTGGTCTGTCCCTGCTGCAGAGAGTTCTGCTCTGAGCTGAGCCATGTGGTAGTGGCGGCGTGAGGTCTCAGAGCAGCCAGTGGGATAGGAACACATTACCCCTGCTAGGATCCTGCCTGCTCGTTCCTGGGCACGGCTCCAGGCTTCCTGTCACACAGCTGTGCCAACACACCTTGGCCTTATCCTGCCACATCCCCGGTGCTTCTCCTGTCCCAGATTTCCTCGGTCAATGCACCTCAGTCCAGACATGCAGCATCCCATCGTCCCTCCCCAGCCCAGCTCTGCCAATGCCCCATCCTGCTGTGCAGCCACCCCCCACTATCCCATATAGCTCTGCCAATGCCCCTCACCTGATACTCAGCCCTCCCATCCTCTCCCCCGTCACCCCCCATCCTGGGGCTCCACACATCACTCTGCTGTTGCACCTGGATCGTGCCCACCCCAAATGGAGCCTTAGCAGCTGTAAATGTTATTTTTGTTTGCAAGTTTCTCAGCCTTCCCACAGAGACCGCTCCCCAGGGAGTTTTGCCATGTGCCCACTTTGATCTTTGACACCTCAGGCAGCTAGGTTGGATTTAGCTGCAAATTGTATTTTGTCCACACTCCTCTTGCTCATGAAATCACTGTCGGGTTCAATCCAGCAGGGGAAAGTTTTGGCCCCAAAGGAAATCTGCAGAGAAACACAAAGAGAGATTTACTCTGAGTGGGAGTAGGGTTGCCAAATCTGACTGAAGCTATTCTGGGAGATTTTTTATTCCAACATGACCTAATATCATTTTCTTAAAAACATTCTATTAAAATCTCCCGAATTCAATAGTCACCGGGAGATCGAGGCCGATTCCTGGAGACTCCAGGCCAATCCTGGAGGGTTGGCAACCCTAAGTGGGAGATTGGTGTCTAAGAACAAGTCCAGAGTGCTGCCCATTATGTAACTCCAAGCCTTCTCCAGGTGACAGGCTGTGCTGGTGCCAAGCTAATTTTTAACTATTAATAACTTTATTCTAAACTTACTCTTTCAGGTTTAAGTGTCTGCAGAGTTTGAAAGTTCAGCTATTTCTGAGTCATTCATTTGCACATCTTAATGCTTGTGGGCTTTTTTAAATGAGAAAAGTTAATTGTTTTCTTGCTCACTTGACTGGATTTTCCTTCACATGTAAATAAAAAGAACCTGAGAGCTCAGACCCCACCCGGAGAGCATCAGCCCCAGAGGAGAGCTTTGGGGACACCCTGCAGGAGATTCTGATGGAAGCTGAGTCACTGCTGTTATTATGTGGCTATTCGGTGTAGTATGGTAATGCCTGAGGCCCCAGCCATTATCAGGGCCCCATTCCAAGGCCAGAAGGACCATTCTGCTCCAAAGCAATTCCTAGCACTGATCTGTTAGACAAACCTCCCATCCTGATTTAAAATTGTCAGGGGTGGAGAATCCACCACAGCCCTGGATAAAGTGTTCCAGCAACATACTACATTTTGTGTGGAGACCAGGCCTTGGTTAATTAAGAGCTGTTCCAGTGCAGCCCTAGGCCTTGGGCCTGCAAATACTGACTTACATGAGCAGTTCCCAGTGAAGTCAAAGAGGCTAAAGTGAAGTGAATGGGATGTGCATAAAATTAGTCATCAGTGGAGTGCCTGCAGGCCTGAAGAATGGCATGTCCTACCTGATCCGAACAGCTTCCAGTCAGGAAGGGAACTAACCCTCTGGGGAATGCTCGAATGAATCGGCCTGGCCCCAGGAGGGAGCTACACATCTAAAGGCAGTCTCAGAATTTTTAACTCCCAGCCCCTCTGCTCCTCCAGCCCTCAAAGGACTTCTTTTCAGGCCTCGTTTGCTTTGCTGTTTTGAAGGAGCTGAGCAAACTCTTTGGAGAGTGGAGTCATACAAGGCTGTGAGCTGTCTGGCATTCCCCCTGTCTGGTGAACCGGCCTGTGTCTATGTAACACAAACTACTTGTGCCTGACCACAGGAGTAAGTGCTGCATGTACTGTAGCTGCAAGTGCAAATCCTGGCAAACGGTGTGCGTCTTACAGCTGGCCACACACTGGAATGGCCGTTCGGGGGGAAAGCTGACATTTTGGGGGAAGTGACCCAGAGCAGAATGGGAGGCCACAATTCTGAAATTTCCCATCAAATGAAAATTCTGAAAAATTTGGATTTGTTTAGAAAATGTCAAAATGTTTCATTTCGAGAGGGTAAAAATTTATTTTTGATAACATTGATTCCTTTCATTTATTTTTATATTACATTGAAACATTAAAGATAATACATTATATATTAGATGAAATGGCAGATATAAATATATTAGAATTAATATTTAACATAATATAAAAACAGAATGAACTGAACTGAAATGATACAGTCAAAAGAATTAATTTTGTCTTTCCCATCAAAAATGTTGTTAAAATAGATATGTTCCCGTGAAACATTTTGGTTGAGATAAAAGTACATTTTCCTATGGAAAACTGGTCTAGCTCATTATTTTCCCACCAGATCTAGTGTTCAGCACCACCTCAGTAGCCAGGTTGAAACCTGGTGTCTGAAACAACACACAACATGCTCTCTCCTGGTCTATACCTGCAACGGAACTGCTCAAGTCCAGTACAGCTGCACCTGCTGCCTACACCCGTTATCAGCAATGGGTCACTTCTGGACCATAGACACAGCTCAGGAGTCTCACATCCTGTCTTGGCCCAGTTGCAGGGAGGGGTGCTGCAGCTCAGCCTTGCGTGACATCACTAGTGGTCTTGCTTGGGTCCTCCAGCGAAGGGCAGGAAGGCAGGGCCTGATGCTCATGGGTTGTAGGAAATGTATTTGATAGGAACAGCTTTGGAACCATTTACCAAGGGCTGTGGTGGATTCGAGTTTGGATATTTTTCTGAAGACATGCTCTAGTTCAATCAGCAATTCATTCAGGGAAGTCCCCTGGCCTGCATTATGCAGGGGATTGGTCTAGATAATCACAGTCTCCCCATCTGGCCTTATCGTCTCTGAATCTAGAGATTTATTTGGGCATAAGGGGCAACAGAAGGCACAGCCAGGATGTCTTTGCTTCCCTCATCACCCCAAGGATTTAGAGGCTATTTTCTGTTCCTTGTATGCCTGTGTCCTGATGTTCAGGATTCTTTATGTCCTATCAGGCCTTCCCAGGTGCTCTGTGTATCCGGGTTCATGGTGTGCTACACAGTCAGCCACAAAAATAAGGATCCGTGGCATTGCTGCTCCCCTGTGCTAAATGACTGGATGAGGGGTAGTGGGCTGGGACACAGGGGCTGTCAGCACCTTGGTGTGGAACATGGGTTGGCAGCACTGATCCTGACACTGGGGCTGCATCTGAAATCAAACACCCGGGGGTAAAGCATCGCAGTGAATGCAGAGAATGGAGACAAGATCCACCCCAGGAAATGACAAAGCCAGGCGTCCTGGAAGCCGACTGCTGCTTTGTTGTATGGCCCTAATGGAGAACCTTCCATTGAACTCATGGACTTCCACTGGGGCGGGGAGCATGGGGCTGCAGGTCATTTGCACGTTCTCTGGTTTAATAAAAGGCAGGTTTTATTTCTGGATTATGAGGGTTGGGGATGGCACCAAAAGTGATGGGTTTTGCCAGCTCAATCCTTCTGACTGCTCTAGGGTCTTGCGTCAATGGAGGGGTTGGCTCCTACAGTCAGAGCCCTGATCCCAATTGTGCTTACAGCAGTATCACTCCAGTGATTCAAGGGACTGATTCCTGATTTCATAGAATCATAGAATCTCAGGGTTGGAAGGGACCTCAGGAGGTAGCTAGTCCAACCCCCTGCTAAAAGCAGGACCAATCCCCAACAACATCTGTGTTACACCTGTGTGACGGAAAGGGAAATCAGGCTTAGCCTTGGGTAGAATTTAACAGCTGGCTAGTCTGTTTAGGGTTTAAAACTAGCTGGAGAATTGTCCATAAAACTCATCTCACAAAGATATTTCAGGTGGGTGTGCCCACAGAGGAGGTGTGTATGTGTGTGTGTGCAGGCACAGAGGAGGGGTGTATGTGTGTGCATACAGAGGAGGTGTGTGTGTGTGCACAGAGGAGGGGTGTGTGTGTGCACAGAGCAGGTGTATGTCTGTGCACACAGAGGAGGGTGTGTGTGTGTGCGCACAGAGGAGGGGTGAGTGTGTGTGCGCACAGAGGAGGGGTGAGTGTGTGCATGCACAGGAGGAAGGGGGTATGCGTGCACAAAGAGGAGGGGGGTGTGTGCATGTACACAGAGGAGAGGAGGGGGTATGTGTGAACACAGAGGAGGGGTGTGTGTATGTGTGTGTGCACAGAAGAGGGGTGTGTGCAGGCACAGAGCAGGTGTATGTCTGTGCACACAGAGGAGGGTGTGTGTGTCTGCGCACAGAGCAGGTGTATGTCTGTGCACACAGAGGAGGGTGTGTGTGTCTGCGCACAGAGCAGGTGTATGTCTGTGCACACAGAGGAGGGTGTGTGTGTCTGCGCACAGAGCAGGTGTGTGTGTGTGTGCGCACAGAGGAGGGGTGAGTGTGTCTGCGCACAGAGGAGGGGTGAGTGTGTGCATGCACAGAGGAAGGGGGTATGCGTGCACAAAGAGGAGGGGGGTGTGTGCATGTACACAGAGGAGAGGAGGGGGTATGTGTGCACACAGAGGAGGGGTGTGTGTGTGTGTGTGTGTGTGCATAC